TAATAAATCTTTTTCTCTTTAATGACTGCATTGATTTCTTAGTGGTTGATGCTTACGGTAACATCGCTTCTATTGCGAATGGAATGGATACCAAGACATTTGTTGAGTTATCCGAGGCATTCGGCAAGCTGGCCATTGTTCACCAGAACGATATCAAGTCGAACAACGTCGTGACATGTCTTATTCGAATGGCAAAGGATACGTCTTGTCTTTTTTCCGTCATCGAGGTATTTGAACTGAACTATATAATTCGTACACTTTTATTGTTATTTATTAATTAAATAATTAAAAACTAATTAATTATTAATTAAATTAACGAAATATGTATATTATTTATATCTTTATACATTAGTAGTAATTATAAATGTACATTGCAATGATACAGGATCAGAAGGATAAGAGCGCAGAACGAAATGTAATGGTTGCTATGCGCTTGTTGAGAATCCTCGAGAAATTGATATCATCTTACGGTGCCTTTTTCACGCATGAGATGATATCAGACTTAATAGAACTTTTGGCACGAATGCACGGGTGACCATTTTATCATTAATCATCAATTTTTCAAAATAAAAATCAGCTTTAACGATTGCAAGAATTTCTTTCTATTTGCATAAAATTATTACACGTGGAGTTATATATTATTTTATAACATTATAGAGATTATAAACAAATATTATTCAGGAATTTATTTCTTCTTTTACAGATACTGCTGCTTAACAAAAGGCAGCGAGAAAACAATTTTGGCCAGCGCTACATCTTTTTTAAATATCATTTTTAGTCATAACGATTTCAAACAGGTACGTGATTACATACACAAAGAGGCATTAAAGAAATAAGGTAAATCATGTGATGCAATTATTTTACCACTATTATAAACAATTCCGTTTCTAATTCTTTATAAATAGTGGTATAAATTTGCATAAAATATAAAACAATTTATACAAAATATGTGACGAATTTGTACTATATTTAGCAATTGAAGAATTATCTTATCATTATATTTGCCAAACTATCTATACAACTGATAAAAATGTTTTGAAAAGAAAGAGGGAGAGAGAGAAATACATTTATGTATTATATGTATTATTTTATATATTATTTTCACATTTTCTTTTGTAATAAGAAGCAAAAATAGATTTTTGACGAGAAATGATATAATTTGTGTTTCAGGTATATTTTGAATATGGGAAGCAAATTGTTCCACGTGATCAGTATGTACGTAGATTAAATTATCATTTACTGACAATTGCTATCATGAAGAAACTGAATGGCATGCCATATGAACACCATTGTAAATGGTCTTTAGGCTCAGATTCTATTTTGGACGTTGCTTTCACATTCATAGATTATCGTAAGTAAGAAAAAGAAAAAGAAAAATAATAATTATAAAAATTTTAACAATTCTAATTGTAAGAAGGACTTTAAACATTTCAATAAAATTTTAAGATTTTTAATAATTTTAAAAATTAATTTTAAGAAATTTAAAGTTTTAAAGAGAGAGAATGAGTGAGAGAAAGTACAACGAATTACGCACGTTATGTTAATTGTAATATAATCGCACTTCCTAGTGAAAAATTACTAATCAAATTAATGTTGAATCAACATCAATCCGATGATTTCGACATCAATTGGACCGATTAATCAATTAGACATCGATTTGATATCTAATTGACAATTATTTCTCGCTGGGCTTTAATTGCACTTTATTAATTCTCTTACTGTTCCAATTAATGAAATAAACATTAAATTTCAACTCAATCGTTCATTTGTTCACTCTTTTTCGATTGTAGTTGAAGAAAAAATCTGCGCTGAAGATCTGCGACTGCCAGGCGTTTGCGGGATTGGCGAACGAATACGTTTCGTTAGCATTTACGAGGCGACTCTGGTATCCGTTTGCAATTTGGCTAGTCAGATTCCCCCGGAAGGCTTTCACGCACTCGAATTGCTTCTATTGAAGCATTTACTATCCGGTAATTTTTGGAGTTCCCTATTAAGTTCAGATGTTTGGTGCTTCATTGGCAGGTAAACAGTAAAGCCTCAGACTTCAATAAACTTCTTTACTATATACCGATTTCTGTACTACATATAGATTTCTGTACTATATATAGATTTCTACACTGAGAAAAAAATTTAGTAAAATTAGTAATATTTTTCTCAGTATATAGACTTCTATATTATATACATTAATTAATACTGAGTGAAAATAAACCGATCAAACTCTAATGCTAATTTCTTATAAATAATTATTTATTTAAGACTCGGCTCTTCACAATTGTGCGTCGATCATATTAAACATCTGATTAAAGTTTCTGCCGCCTTGATAGAACGACATGACAGCATAGAAGCAATTATGCTAGATAACATGATCATCAGATTGTACGATTTACTGAACGAAGACATGAAATCCACTTTGTTTGATAACCTTATCAACCTGGATACAGATTATTATGCTTCTATCCTATATTTGTTAATGGCAAAAACTAAATCTCTTTCATCGGAACGATTAAAGCGTAAAATCGAGGATTTGCCGAAGGCTTTCTTAGATTTGCATACACATCCTTCTACTAGTAATTGGAAACGGCTTGTAAGACGATATACTAGATACATCAATCAATTTGTTCACTTACTTTTGCTACAAGAAATTTTATAATTATATAATTTTATAATTAATATAATTGTAATTTATTAAAAAATTTTATAATAAATTTATATTGATTTTCAGATACAGATCATGTCCGTCATGACAGCGGTGAATTACAGCGATAACAGGGATGTTATCAACGTTCTAACTAAAATATGGAGTTCCGTTGCAACTGCGATTATCGAATGCGAGGACAAACAACTGGATCTGTTGTCCGATTTAGTTGTTATCTTGTTGGACGCTACTTGTCTCAAATATCTTCATGATGACAGCTTTTGTACGGTATAACACAAATACGTTTTATCTATCTAATTATTTGTTAATAGAAGTATTTTTTTGGTAACAGCAGAAATTACAAGAGTATTGAAATATAATATTTCATATATATGTTTGTTTGATTTTAGGTTCTTACGTCTGTCACAACTTTATGCGCCCATCTACCGCCTCAAGGCAAGATCAAGATCTGTCATTTTCTACGACAAAATGTCGAAAATCTCGGTCGTTGCAGTGTCCAAAGCGTTACGTCTACTTTAATTGAATTGTTCAGTCATTTACTAGAAGACGAGGATCCTTGGGTACGTCAAGAAGCTCTGGAGACCTTTGAGCACGTCGGACATATGTGTTTGGAGCAGCTAGTCGCCGAAATAGCGAAGACTTTAGCAAAGATATCCGGTATCAGCGATATTATGCAAGCCTACTTGTCCTTGAGACCATATTATGTTTTCAAGGGTTTTACGAACATACAAGATTATCTTAGATATTTGGTTAAAGCTGTTCAAAATCATGGCAATGAGCACAGATGCTATGAATACAACGTAAGTATGATAAAAAAAACTTGAAATAAAAAATAAAACATAATTATTTACTTCAAAGTTTCTATTTTTTAATCTAAATTTTTATCTTGTGCACAAACAGATCCAATCAATGATCTGTAATGATCTGTAATGTGAGCTCATTTTATATTTATTGTGCCTAAATGAAATTGTGTCATCATAAGCTGTAACTTCTTTAGAACAAAATTTTATTTTAATTTTTTTTTAATCAATAGTGTATGTGTGTGTTGAACATAATTATATTAAAAGTTCAAGATGAGATTTTATATAAATAATATGGACACTATATACAAATATATAAATAATATAACGAAATACGAAATAGGAAATTCTAATAATGATAAATGAATATAAGGAATCCGAGAGAAAAGACAAGATGTTGAAGCTGGAGGAGGAGAAAAACTCGCGTGAAATCATCGTGCCAATGTTAATACAGTTGGACGAACAAGCGGAGATGTTGTACAAAGGATTGACGAAGGTTTTAGAAGATCAGGCTGTTATCAGTGAGGCGATGTGCAGGAGATTGATGACCATTCTCGAAAAAATCCTTCAAGTTCAGGGAAATAAAAATTACCAGAACTGATAGTTTGTCTTTGCGATATAAAAATAAAATGGATAATATATAATATATAGTCTCTCTATCAATGATAAAGATAAGGCGACAGTTTATCAAAATAGTAGTAATTAGAAAAAGGACAAAATATATATATACAGTAAATAACAAAGATATGGAAAAAAGATTGTATCAAATAACAGTAAAAACAAAGAAAAGATAGACTTAACCGTTTAATTACGCTACTCTTTCTTAAACATTTTTGTTATGTTTTCATTTAGAAGAAACAACAGAAATAAATAAAAAAATAGATAAAAAATTGTGAAAAGAAATTAGGAAAAATAAAACAAAAGCTAAAAATTTTCTTTGTAGTATACATATCGAAGATTAAAATTAAATAGTGAATAATTTCGAAACAATTGTTCTTCTTATTTTGTTACATATTTTCTTTTATGATAGAGGAACCTGTATTTTCATGAAAAAAAAATCCATATTTAAAAAAATGTATATTACATCAATTTGTAAATCCTTTACAATTTTGTTAGAATATAATACAAAATTTTTTAAAGACTTAAGATTCATTTTGGAAATATCCTTTGGAAAGATCCTTTTGGAGATATCTGTTTTTTTAAGAGAAGTCAAATTTCATCGAATTTTATGTATTAAATTTTATTCACTTTATCAATTTTCCGAATCAATTCTTTTTACTACATGTTAGACATATTTAGAGACCCTTTAGGAGTAGGGTTACCAGGTGCTTTCCAGGACATACTTAGACTGTGTAACATAGTGAATCGTCTCATTCTTGTTTAACGTAAGCAAATACTGTATCTGATTGGGTCCTTGCTAGAAAGCACCCGTATTGTTGTAACAACGCCATCTGTGTGAAGTTTATTCACTGACGATGACTAATTTAACTGCTGTATATAAAAGTAGAAAAGTCTGCTAGCACACAGTAGAATGCAGTTTGACGCAACCTAACGTCGAAACTTTATTCGTATCATAGTTTTGCAGAAAATAATTAGTGAAATATAATAATTACTAATAAAAAAGTATAGCAGCTCTGACATTTCAATAATTTGATTTATTGGAGAACGTATTACATAGTCCTTGTGAATATCATTGTAAATTCGTGCAGTTGACATTTACAGTTTTCGGTATTGCGTATATTCTGTTTGGTAAGTGCAGCAAATACAATAAATAATTATAGTATGTTTAGATGTAGAATACAGAATTTAATATATTATCGATAATAATTCAAATAAATCGAAAGTGAATCGGTATTCAAAATAGTGGTTGCACTTTTTTAAAAGATTGTATGATTTTTGAATATAAATTTTTGTGATCTGTAATTGTTAAAGTAGAATTATTACAAAAAAATCAACAAATTACAAAATAGAATTTGTAGTTAATTTGACGTTATTTAAATATTAAAATATAAAATATTGTACAATATTTACACACTTTCTTCGTTAGTAATTAGAATATTTTACGAAAAATATTTCAATTTTTATATCAGAATAAAGTATGAATTATACTGAACTCAAGTATAAATTATTTCTTAATTATTTATGTTTTAATTTAAATTATTTTTATTAAAAGATGAATAATTAATTCTTCCTCATATTTAGACTTTTATATATCGAATAGTGAGAAGAATTAATTTATATTAAAAAATTTTCTTTCATTACTTTTTTTTTACGAGAAAGTTCCCAATACATTTATTATAAGAATTATATTCTACATATTTATTATAAAAAGTGTAAAAAATATCAATTAAATTTTTTATCAATCTAATAGAATCAACAAAAAAACGATATCTTCTAATATGTGAAATTTAATTATTTGTTATTTTCAAACGCTACTTGATTAACACTTTTAATTAATTTGAATCTTTTACATTGCAATTGGTTAAAATTTGTGATAAATACTGTTTGTTTAAAATACTGTTTTTAAAACTGATAATTGATATTGTACAACTTTCGAAAATTCTATAAATGCACTGTGTTAAATATATACATACAGACATATATTTTATTGCTATGTTCATTTCACGTACGTATGGGATAAGACTTTTTTATAAAAATCGGAACACCTGTAAGAATTAGTCCAAGGTTCACAATTATTACGTGCTATATTTCTTATCTATCTAATAAAAGTCAAGTGATTTCAAATTCATTGATTATCGGTGTACCGTGCAGATGATGATTGAAGAAAATTTCAGAAAGCATTTTTTTTACTCCGTCTTCTTTCTTACGACTGTACATATATATAAATAAAAAAGTTAAAAATATTAATCAATATCTCAATAAGTGCAAACTTGAAAACGAGTATAAATAATATTTAAGTTGTTATATTCTTTATAATCCATTATTATAGATATTTGTTCATTCCCATCCGTTGTTTTATCGCAAGCAATATATTATAGTATTTATCATAATTATTTATCATAAATTGTTAATCGCGCGCGAATTTAATATAAGAAAATTAAATTAACTAAAAATATCAAGTAGCGTGTGTTTTTAATTTAAAAAAAATCAATTTGAAGAGAGATGATAAATTATTTTCGTTATATATACACACACACAGACAGGCGTTATATATACACACACACAGATAAAAAATTCTTTTGTCCTTTTTTATATTTTTTAATAATGAATAATATTCATTAGTTAGGCACATTATTTAAAAAAAATCAATTTGTAGAGAGATGATTAAATTATTTTCGTTATATATACACACACAGACAGGCTGATAAAAAATTCTTTTGTCCTTTTTTATATTTTTTAATAATGAATAATATTCATTAGTTAAGCACATTTTTTCATCCGCTTTCTTTTATTTAGCAGTTTTGTATTACACTGCGCAATATTCATTGAACGCGATTAATATAATAATTGATATCATATGACTTCTGCTAGTTAGGCACATTCTTTTTCATCCGCTTTCTTTTATTTAGTAATTTTGTATTGCTAAATAAACCAGACGGTTTGGTGTACAGTAAAAAGCATTGTTCGACTTATTCATTGTTCATGTAAGTGCACATTTTATTTAACATTGAATCTAACCATAGATTGATAATTTGATCACTATTTGTTTATTATGACCATATAGCACTTCTTGATATTTTGCTTATGACAATTTCAATAATTATGTCTTTTTAGTGTAAGATTTAATTATTAGTTTATACTGAAGAGGATTCAAAACAGGATCGAAACGTTTATATGTTTAATTTTTAAATAAAGTGTATATATTTACACACTAATAATTTATGTCGGCTCTAAAAAGCTTTATTTAATTTATTATACATTATATTTTATCCTGCTGTATTATTTTTAACAATAATTTTATAACAAATATAATTTTAAAATAATTTTAAATTTTAAAAATTTACACACAGAAAAATTTTTATAACAAATATAATTTTAAAATAATTTTAAATTTCAATAATTTACACAGCAAATTGCACATAAACGATGACGCAAGTCGAAGATATTAGCAGGTATCTATCCAATGATACCGTATTCAATAAAATAAGCAGACGATTTATAAGTATGCAGTCTGATGACATAAGGCGTAATAATGAGCTCTTGAACTCGGTATCATAAAAATCTTTTTATTTTATTGGAACTATATCCTAAATTACGTTAGTATTTCTTGTATATTGTAATATATGCTGCAGCTTCTTAAGGAATTGGAAAACGCTATGCGAAGCCAATGTCCGCTGTTTACTAAAACATTTAAAAAAATTGAGTGGGCTGGTAGTTATTATAAAGGAACTCGAGTTGGCCAACCAGAAGAATACGATTTGAATTTTGTAATCAAATTGCCCTTCAGAGAAAATGATCTAGAGGTAATATCATTTTTTAAATTAATTATGCATATTACTGAAGATTATTCAAGTTTAAAAGATAGAGAGAGAGAGAACGAAAAAATATTATCAATTATCATTTATATGAAAAATTCTTTAGTTTAGATATTTGATTTAATTTGGTGTAAAGTTATTTCTTTTCAATTGTATTAATTGGTATATTATTTAACATAGTATTAATTAACTTTTAAATTTAAATAGAGGAGAGTAAAGGAGAGTAGAGGAAACTACGAAACTACGAAAGTTAAATAAAGCTGACAGTTATTTATCAATTATTAGAAGTCTTTAGTCAAAAGATACTTCAGTTATTTAGCTTTAAATTACAATAATTCACATTAATTTACTAATAACATTTTTATTATCAATATAAATTATAATTTTAAATAAAAAACAAAGTTTTACACAAAAAAACTTTTGTTGTTCACAATTATCTGCCGCTACACGAGGCAATGCCGAATCAATTTTGCTCTAAAATTATAGTTTACATTAATAATATTTTAATGTTAATTATATTGTAGTTTAAAGTCAATATCCTTTAAATACAAATTTTTATAAATGATAAATATAATTGTCAACTTATTTAACCCGGCGTGAGCTATGTGGTAAAGTACTTAAAAGTATCTAAATCTAAAAGTACTTCAGAAGAACTTCGGATCTCCCATTAAATAAAAATTACAAATAAAATATTCAGAATTATATGAAAATTATGTTTATTAAAATTCTAATCAAATTAGTAACAATTTTAAACGTTAAAGAGATCAATGAGTCGGGTCAGTCGGGTGTGACATACCCGATCTAGCTCACGCCGGGTTAACTTAATTTATTGCAATATTGTTTGCGGTTATCCCGTGTTCGCAATCCCCTCACTCTCTCCTGTACATTATACATAAATATAGATATTGTTTTATTATGTATCTACATATATGTATATACATATTTAAAAACTTTTAACATAATTTTAATACATATAAAATAATAGAAAAGATAATGAAAATAAATATATGTAATTCTGCAGTAGACTAACACGAATATTTTCTTATCGATTCTCAATGCAATTTCCTATGATAAGATAGACGCAAATAAATACTAATATTATAATTAATACTTAAACTGAAACATTGATTATATTTCAGTTTAGTACAGATCGACCCGGTTTTACTAAAATACGCATTGTTGGAAGAGACAGAAACTCGTCCAATACTTTAAATATGGATCCAGCGGCATATCGGTAAATATTATATTTAATAGAAATTTATATTTAATAGAAATCTATTCAATATAATTTATGAAATGAAAGAAAAAAGAAGACTATTTTTTATTCAGAAAATTAAATTCTTTCATCGATGATCAATCATATCTGAACCAACAAAGATTCCGTACATGGATAGAAGGAATTCTCGATAAAGTGGCATGGGCTACTGGTGGAAATAACGAAATTTTATTTGATGGTTATTTACCAGTAAGTAAAGAAAATTATAGTTTGAGTTATTGATAGTTATTGATAGTTTAGCAATTAATCAGAATATAGATTAGTATCAATTTATATCCATGGTGAATCATATAACAGAGAAACTGAAGTTAGTATACTTTATAACTAATATCGCACATCTTTTCTTTGTTTAGATAAAGATAAAAAAATCAGGACCAGCGTTTACACTATTAATCCCACTTTTTGAAAGAACCATCAGCATCGATATAGTTCCTGTTTTAGCTTTTTCGCCTCGTATTACTATGCCACCAAAATGTTCAAGACGTGACATATTAGAAGTACGTAATAAAAAAATTATAATATACTAGATTGAAGCAAACTCTGGTAGAAAAATTTGTCCGAATGTGTCCAAAATATAGTCAAAATGTGTCCGAATTCGTTCTAAATTTCTATATGCTAAATTAATAAGTTAAAAGTTAACCATGAGTTGTGAAATTGCAGGGCCTAAATGAGCTCCATGTTAACTTTACCGAGATTGGTGAAAGAGACTCCTAGAAGCCAAGTAATAAGCATTTAAAAATATACCAAAAATATGGAAACAAGTCTTTATTGGTTTGATCTTGGATGACATCGTCAAGATCAAATCAAAGTTGACGATGCCACCAAGTTCAAATCAATAAAACCAGTAAATACATCTTATTAAACCCTATTTGTCTAAGACATTTTTCTCAAAAATGCATATTTTCCGAAATATTAGATACTGCGTTTCCATATTTTTGATATATTTTTAAATGCTCATTACTCGGCTTCTAAGGCTCATTAGCAGGAATGGCTTTACAGCTGGTGTTCATTTATTGGTCAGCTCTTCTAACATTGCTGCAAGTTTGATCAAAATCGGTGAAGAGCAGAGCGTGGCCTTTCCTTGTTAGATTATTTTGATCATATCACGACAGTGTCTCGCGCCAAGTACATACACGCCCATACTAGGCGCAAGAGACTTCATTTATTGGTCAGCTCTTCTAACATTGCTGCAAGTTTTATCAAAATCGGTGAAGAGCAGAGCGTAGTCTTTCCTTGTTAGATGTATTTTGATTATTTTGATCATATCACGACAGTGTCTCGCGCCAAGTACATACACACCCATACTAGGCGCAAGAGACTATGACTGCGTTCCATCTCACGCATGATGTATCATTTATCCTTGTTTAACATTTGGTGAATAACAAGGATAAATAATGCAGCATGCGCATCATGCGTGAAACGGAACGCAGCCTATAATACTGTGTATCTTTACTTGAATCGTCGAATTCGTCGCGGTGTCGGAACACTATAATCATACCTAATATATGTATAAGTCCTATACAGCACTAATCATTCCAACAACTTTACAATAGTATTACAATAGTATTACAACATTTCAATAGTATTACAATAACAAATATTGCAGCAATGTTATTGCAAGTTTGTATATTATATAAAGTTCTTTAATCTTTTTTGAATTTAATAATTAACCTTTATTCAAATTAACAGTTATATTTATTAAACTCAATACTTTAATATTTTAAAACAAAACTTAATGGAGTAAAACTAATTGTTTACAGCAATTCAATAATTAAATAGCATGTTTTTAATCGTTTCCTATTTTATAATAGTCTGCTTCAGAGAATAGACGTTGGTCTGTAGTTCCAAAACCATTAGATAACAGTAAAGGTTTTAATGATTCACAACATCGCTATTGGCGATTGTGTTTTTACGAATTTGAAAAAGTCATGATTTGTAGCCATGATTATGGATCTATAAAGCCTGTAATACGACAATTAAAGGTAATCGTGGAATAATAAACAATTTATTTGTTCTAATACGAATAAACTTTCAGTCTATTTTTTATACTTAACATCGTAGGTATCCCCTATGTAATTAATTCTCTTTGTTTTTCTTTTTCAATGAATATTAGTTATGATTAAACTTTTATTTGTTTGTAGTATTAATTTTTATTGCAATAACTTATTGTATACAATTTATTTTATATATAATGTATGTTCTTTATTAGAAACTTAGAGATACTCAAAAATGGTGCAGCATTGCAAGTTATTATCTTGAAACATTATGTTACAATAAAAAAGAAATATTTCATATTTCTAAAAGACAATCATATACTTCTTTATTCTTCACGGTAACGTATTGCTAAAACACAATTTTATTTTTTGTTAAAATAATAATGAAGTAGCAACGCTTTTATAGATGTTAGAAGAACTTCACGATGCTCTCTGCAATGGAAAAATAGAATTCTATTGGGACAATGATTACAATTTGCTGGAGAAAATCGGACCTGAGGAAATGAGAAATATGGCGGGTAGATTAAATAATGTTTTAGAAAGTATCAGGAAGAACATAAAAAATGATCAGTATGCAATAGCTAGATGGATTTGTGAGTACTTACGCTTTCTTCATGCTTCGAATATAAATACGTATGAATTGATATATACATATACGTGGTCAACTAGAAAATTAACCACTTTTGATGCTTATATATTAAAATATAAAAATTGATAATATAGAGATTAAGTGGCTATTAATTAAAAATTATTCTAATTAATTCGAATAATTTATAAAAATTAATGTCATGATATTATATTTTACTTGAATTTTTTATTATAGTGAATAAAAACGAATTAGACATTTTGATAAATTCCGTACATGTATTGGAACCGGAACCAGAACCCGAACCGGAACCTGAATTTGAAAATCGTAAGTATTACATAATATAGATATAGATGTAAGAAGTAAAAAATGTAGAATAAACTTTTACATGAAATTCCATTTTTATAAAAAAAATTGTACACATGTAATATTTAAGAAAAAATGTTTTTAATTGTGATGATTATTTGGTCAATTTAGGATTATTTTGCATTTTCAAGGTTAAAAATATATACACATTTCAATTGATAAAATAATTAATTTATTGTATAAATATTTATAATACAATATTAATTTTTTTACATTTTTCATTTATTTTTGTCTATATAAAAACTTAAGTTTTCCAAATCTGTAAGTTAACAGCAAAATAAGAAGTTTTTTGCAACTTACAGAATAGATTACAAGTATTGCAAAAAGGTAAGAGATATTAAAATTTGCATATTTATATAAATGAGTAAGCAAACGTAAAAACTGTAGATACTAATTAGATTAAAAAGCATGCTTCGTCGAATTAGACCGTGTGTTATATTGTAAATAGGACGCTACTATTTACAAACGGAATTAATATTATCTCTTAATTTTTATATGTAACATTCATAAAAAATATATGAAAAATATGAGTGATTTCTTTATATTATAAGAAATTTATCACTATATTTTTGTTATTACAAATTTGTCGCTCTCAATTATGAACAAGTCTTTCATCTTTCTTCATCAATCACTCATAATACTCATACATAGAATTGTAATTTTTAAAGCTAATTGCAACTAGATAGTACATTTCAACGAATTTCTTTTAAATTTATATTTTTAAGATATGGAGATGTCTAAAATTACAGATATAAATTCTAAAAATATAAGAATTTAAGTTAATTTAAGATTTTTAAAAATAAACATTTTTGATTTAATAAATAATTTACATTTGTGCATGAAATTAAGGCACTTTTCTTTCATGCTATATTAGCCATATCGAATTATAAGATAACTTCTCACTTTTAATACAACATTGCCAATATAGAGGAAGAAATATACTTAATATTATTTTAAATTTCACACTAGTTTTGTTTACTTCGCGATAATCACACGTATTTATTTTACATTACATTATATTAATTTTATTTTACACTATATTTTTTCATGCTATTTGTTTATTATCAATTAATATACATTTGTATATTTTTTTTGCAGCAAGTCAATGGAATTGCGTGATTGTTTGACCAATCAAGGAAGAAATCAGTAATGTTGCTAACACAACGTATCATAGCGAGACAGTCTGCCTCAGCTGTATGAATATCGTCATAGTGTTTGCCGACTATATGCTCATGAATGGCAACAAGTTTTAAGCTACTTGGCCTCTCAAACTCAAAATTCAATCTTTTCTTGAAGTTGTTTTTCTTGACTAGACGCTGCATGACGACATTTTCTGGCTTCATTTTTTGAGCCTTTGGTGTTTTTTCGTTTACCTCTTGTATAGGATTCTTCGACGATTGGACATCAACATCATTATTATAGTTATCTACTTTTGTATTTACGACTTTAATATATTTATCGTCATAGAGACGCTTTGTTTGCGCAGTGGATGTCGTCGCAATAATATTGGATTCTTCCTCCGTCACCACAGCCATATCCAATGTGGAGAGCGAGTCATTGAACTCATCGTTCAACAAATCTTGAAATACTGCAGGTTGCAAGTTTTTCTTAAAGAAATCATCGAACATTTTCCATGTATCAATGCAGAGGATTTTGTCACTAAGTATCTAATGGGGGAAAAGGGTATTATTATTATTATTATTAAATGGTGATTATTACTAAATATAATGAAAAATCATGAAAGAGCTAATTGTTATGTAAATCATTTATTACCTTATTGATACGTTTGAGTTCCTCTAAGAATATTGGATAATCGAATTTGTTGCCGTTATGTGCTGCGAAACAAATTGGCGGTGTAAGACGTTGCAAAAAGTATATTATTAACTCATAAAGTTCACTTTCGAAAGGCTGCAGTGCCTGCATATCCTCATTATATAGTTCTGCAAAATTACGTATTATTTCCTTGTCAAAATTATGCCACTGTATTTTATATAAAAATATTTAATCAGTGTAGTACTAGTGACTGAATTTGCTATTAAACTAATAAAATAACTCACTTGTCATGTGTTGCACCTGTACTGGGATAACTTTTTCTGGATTAACTGGGAGTACCAATTTATGTAAGACTCTCGGTAGGCAATTTTTGTTACTATTACGTATTGATTCTGTCGAGACGGCGACTAAAGCAATTTCTGTAATTCTTGGCATGACATTCTCCCGGATCAGCCCAGTTGTTTCCAAATCGAAAAATACAAACGTTTGAATAGCCATGTCAACTTCCTCGTTTCCATGTAAATATTTTCTCTTCTATGTGCTATATCTTCATTATAATCTTATGGTCTACTTGTATAACAATTATATTAATTATGTAATTGTGATAAACTTGACATGTATATAAATAAACTTTTAATTTTAATTTTTCGAAACCTTACTTTAAACTTTATTACAGGATATCCAGTGAATGTATTTTTGTTGGAGATAAGGCCCACTCATTACACGCACTACTCATCTAAGGAAGGTGCAACATTCTATCGATATTTCATGCAGTCAAGTTTCCACGTAATTGTCTAAAATTGTAAAATCATAAAGTCTTTTCTGTGACTATGCTCATCTCTTTTTTTTTTATATCTCTTAATTAATTACTAACTACTTCGTTCTGAATATAGAAAATGCAACAAGTTATGACTATGAGAAATAGATTTGTGTATGTGTGTGTTGTGTGATGATTCAGCGATTGCAGGTACATTTATAACAAACTCCACTATTTTGCTCTTTGAAAGGCCTCCACAAGAAGTTATTTAAATGCAACTTAAATTTCACATAAATTTGCAATATATAAATATAAGATTAATTTCATTTCTTATATATACACAAAGATTTTACCTTTACAGTTCAATTCTTCTACTTTTCATTTCTCGTTCGCTTTCAGTTCCCCTTTATCTCTTGAACTCTCGAGCACCTGATAATCCTGAGATTTCTGAGAGAGATATCTCCCCTGTCCACCATCTCGTTTTCTCTCTTCTTCTTAATTAATGGTTCCTGCCTCCAATGGAATAAACGGAGGCAACACGGCCAGATCTCGTCAAAATAATAGACTTGTTTTTTTATTGCTGCATTCTATGAACTGATGCACATGCAAGGCTGCGTTCGGAAATATCACCTGGGTGTTCCTGTGTATCACTTTATCCTTATTTAAAGCCTGCGGCACACGATGCTTGTTTTCCTGCTGGATT